CCACAAGACCCGAAGGGATCCCCGAAGCTGGCAAACTCGACGGCAACGATCTTCTTCTCGTTCGAACACTTTAGGTCTGCCTTGGGCTTCAAGTCATTGGTTTTATCCTGTAGGTTACCGTTTTTGTTCTCGTATAACCTCGGCGATGGCGGATGGTTTTCAGTTACCGAACTGCAGATGGTGTCCCTATCTATCACTACGATCTCGATGTCCTTAGGGTTGCCTCCATCTTCCTCGAATACGACAATTAGGTTCTTTGTTGGCTTCAAGAATGTTCTCGGGATATGGTACCTGAAATCACGAAACATTTAGTCGGGACTCATTGTTACTACCAGTATATGTCTCGTGGTTTACACGTACTCGGATTGAGTTGGCTCTTTAAGAACAGATAAGTAAGACATCCAATATCGGCCAATGCTTCTTCCATTGATCCACACCATGCCTTTGCTCATACCAATCATTCTGATGGCTACTGGATTTGTACCTTCAGGTGCATCAAAATATCCCTACAAAAACATGTTAGAGCATTTTTTTTAACGTAAAAAGATCCCAAAATTTGAAAAAATTTATATTTTACCTGGTACCATGTTAGAGGGTTTTTATCACCGGTAGGAGTTAACCATTGTACCGATTGTACGCCTTTCTCGGTGTATATTTGCTTCTTTTCTCCTTCAAGTCCCACCTTATGCTCCCAGCCAATCGTCGATATATCAACTGTGCCGGTGTTCAAGCCGAGTATGGTGATCGAACGAGACCCGGCATACCGACGCTCCATGTAGGTACCACTGTCATTTAATTCGGAAAAAAAGAAAATCTAATTAGTATGCATGTTTTAAGCTTTATTTAAAGCCATTTAAGTTGCAAAATGGACTTACCTGAAGTCCCACTGTGTAAGCCAATATATGAATAGTGTTTTTCCAGGCTCAAGCTTTGCTTCTTTCTGATACACAAAGTTCTCCTCAATTTTTCTTCCATGTCCAGAACCAATGAATTCGTCATTCACAAAGAGGAGACTGTGGCCCTCACTCGCAACCCCAATGATCGGTCGGGTTCCCTTTTTAAATGGCAAGTCGTTTTCACTCAGAAAGACACTGGTCGAATACCAAACGTAGTCTGTTGTATCTTTGGTCAAGTAAAAGAGCTCCAATGGATGGTCTTCCTTATGTTCGAATTGCCTCCGAAGGCCTTCATTGTACATTCTCCACTCAATATTGCTAGCAACTTTTGATCTTAATATATTTCTCCTGTTGTGTTGTGTTGTGATCTGTGTTGAACAATCAAATAATACTTAACCTTGTGGTTAATTTTGTGTTAAACAAGCATGTAAGTGGAAATATCAGATGACGTAAAAAAAAGGTTTCGGAGTTAACCAACTGTGTGTTGAAAACCAGGGTCTTGCAATCAGGGAGGACACTGATGGATTTAGGTGGCAGATAATATTCCCCTCCCCTGAAACTAATTGTAGCCGGCGGTAGCATTGTTGGCTATGAATGCTGTACACTTAGGTGTTCCCGATTGCTCCCAGACTCGAGCCTACATTGCACAATAGCTTAAGCTCAAAGTAACCATAATCGATTTTTTTGGTGTATGTATAAACACTTACCTCTAGCTTGGGGCCTAACTTTACAACAGTAGGAGACCCATAAAACAGACCCCTTCTGCACAAGTTTATGGCCCTATGAGCATCCTTGAGATGACCATATTTTGGTTCTCTTATTAAACCTACAGAACATTCAGATAACAATGTGTTATTATCCGTATAAACGACTTCGACCCGATGATCATCCCATAACAATGTTTATTAATCCTACCGAATTCATCAAGAGGGGCTTCATCGTAGTACCGAGTTAACACAAAAGCAGCGCTCGTTCTGCCATAGTTTGTGCCACCATAGTACTGCAAAACAGGGAGAGTTATGTCTAAAAAGGATGCCAGCATTGAACTCCTAGAAGATTGCCAAGTATTTTCCTACCATATAATAGTTAACCAAAGATCCATTCTTGGAGAACGACCGAACGACCGACAATGCCAAATCTTCGGCAGATCGTTGAGATGGTGGATCTCAGAATACTCGGTACTGTGCAGTCTAGTTCTCGGTCCACAGATAAGGCTTGTTTGGACCTGTGAAAGTATCTCCACATTGTCTGCCATTGCAGGAATTGATCTGCAGAACAATGAAAGTGTAAATTCCTAATAAGTTATGAAAATTGTATACATTTTTCTCATAGTTAATGATAAACTTGATAAACATACAACTGGATCTGGGGCATCCTTCTGCTTGCACATGATCCACGGGACACCGATGTTCAAGTCGAGGGCCATCTTCGCAGCCCATTGAATATAACTAACTCCTTTTTCTCTGAATGCTAGTTGAATAGTGTTGTATTCATTCTCGATCTACGAAACATACAACGAATCAAAATTAGAATCAATGATATATAGATATATGTTCTGGGCGGAGAATTAGAGTATCATCAATCAAACCTGAGCTACAATGATAGGTCCTCCTTGAGAAGCAAACAACTTCTCTGCTTTCAGCTTGTCGACAATCATGGTAACGAACTTCTTCATGTAGCGCTGAAAAAGAGTTCATTTCAAATGAGGTACCGAATCTTTCGAGTCGCGGTTTGATTGCTGTGTATGTTAGATTACCTTGAATGGTTCATTATCTGAACGGAATATAGTGTTGGGATCCTCTCTTTGCCAATAAGGCAATCCTCTGAAAGTTCACCACGAAAAAAGCTACAATTGTTAAGAGTGTGTGAAGAAATGGGGATCCAAAAAGAATGTGAGCAAGTGTTTGAATCGTTACCCATTGTTCCATTCAGCCTGCACAAGCGGACTGAGCCTCATGATCGCATACATTTTCTGCTCGGCGATCAGCTTAATGAACTTCACCAAGTCATACTCTCCTTCGAAATTGTACTTCCCCTGCTCCGGCTCATGACCGTTCCAGAAAACATGTCTCGATCGCGTTGAGACCGCCACGTTTAGACTTTACAATAAGACCCTCCCAGTACTGCATCCCCAATGGTTCAGCACGATCCATGAAAACACAATAATTAATGTATGGATGCATGTATGCATGTATGCATGTATGCATGTATGCATGTATGTATGCATAAATCATACCTCCGGTGGGCTGCGAGGGTAATGAATGGCACCCGAAAAACAAGCACTCTTTGGCCATTGACAATCAAAGATCGTCCATCATACGTGACGCTCGTATTCCCGCTCCCCGGAACGTTTACCTCTTCGCCTGTGTTACCATCTTCATCGTCGCCGCCATCATTCTTATCGTTGCCTTGTGCAAAACCGGAAGTAATCAACAAAATTGACAAAAAAAAATGAAAATGATACGATTTGATATCGACGTTGGCGTTACTCTATATGCTCCGAGTAAAAAAAAAATTCTCAGACCGGAAAATAAACAGCTAGCAGATACTAGTAATCTTATAACCGCATAAAAGGGGGAGCACTACGGTTGGAAAGCTCATTAGACAATCTACGTGAAGAACACTCATATAGGACAAAGGATGCATGAAACTTGGGATTTCTTTTAATCTGCTGCGATTATGAAGCCATTTCATTCACCATATATAGGAGATATTTCGACTTTGTATACTATTAAATTGAGTAGAAATTCTCAATCATTTTAAATCTTAATCATATTATTAGAATTCAGATTTATTATTATTATTTTTAAAAATATTACTTAATTTTATTACCCGAAAATAGCATCACGAAGTAGAGCTGTAAATGAGACGAGACAGATCGCGAGCTACTCGAAATCGACTCGATCAAGGCTCGATAAATATTCGGATCGAATGGACTCAACTTGAGCTCGACTCGAATTCTTAATGAGCCGAAACGAGTTACTTGATATTCGACTCGAAAAGCTCGTGAGCAGCTCGAAACATAATATATTTAGATTTTATTTTTTTAAAAATAAATTATTAATAATATTAACATTTATGTATTGATTTTTTTTAAAAATTACAGTAAATTTTTTATGTATTTAAAGTTAAGGTTCGAGTTCGAATTTGAGGTTTTAATCGAGTTAAGTTTAAGAATTTATTTTCTTCATTTCGAGCCTTTTCGAGCTGCTCACGAGCTTCAGTTCAAGATTTCAAGTTCGAGTCGAGCTTAAAAATTTTAAGCTCGCGAGTTTTCGAGTCGAATCGAGCTTCATTTCAGAGTTTTCGAGTCGAGTCGAGCTTAGCACTACTCGAGCTCGACTCGTTTACACCCCTAACACGAAGTATATAATCAAAAATAGAATTCAAAAAATCATAAGTAAAAGACATGAATATTTGAATCTGCTAAATATATGTATTTATTAAATAAAAGAAGATAAAATAAAAGTTTAAAAAATTAAAATCAACAATGAATTTAGATACAGTTTGAAGTCTATTTATTTACAAGAACAAAACAGATTTAAATAATACATATTATTTAAAAAAACCAAAAAGTAAAGCATTGTATAATAATGGATATTCATGTGTTAAAGTTTGAATATGTTGCAAGAATTTGCAATATATGTGGTTAGATCATTTTATAAATTTTAATAATCGATGGATCATATTATAATTTTTAATAATGAATATATTTAATAAAATAATATATTATGATCGAAAATTATTTATGTGGTTTATTCTAAATTTTATTATCAAATACGATTATAAATAATATATCATCTAACTATATATATAATTTAAAATTATGATAATAAATCTTTATTGTAATTCTACGCATTAAATAGTTACGAAAAGATATTATAATGTATTCAGCTCGTACTATTAAAAAAAATTATTTTGAAGCATAATGTACCTATAAATTACAAGCAAAATGGTTTCTGACCAGAGAATACAAAAAAAAAAAAAAGGACGCCTGGAATCCCTGTAACGAAAGCATCAGAGCGTCCATCTCTGTGTTTCTGGTCCGTCCATTTCAGGATTTTCACGACGCCATAAATTCACCATTCTATTGACCTTATATGCAAAATTAAAAAGTTCACATTTTTGTTCCCTTGTAAAAGATTTCATTTTCTTGTTACCCAAATCTCACTTTTCTTCTACTTAGTCATTTGGTCTTTGCACCCCTTTTTTTTCTATTAAATAGTAGCCGCCTTTTATGTTTTAGGGTTTCGAATTGCCGAATCTATGGTAAAATTGCTACTCTTTATTGGATTATTTGCATTGATTTCTTGTTGAAACTTTGATTTTATCGAATTGTTCGGGCCATCCCAGGTTGTTCAATCTGGGTAAGACTTTTTTTCTCCTTTCTTTTAATTGAATGATAATTGTTTGATTCGTTTTCAGTTGATTTTTAAAATTAAATATCGTAAAGAAAATGATGTGTTCTAACTTGATTATTTGCTTTGATTAGTTTATTTTTTTCATTAAAAATCGCAAATTTACTCTCCTTAGCTACATTCAAGTGTTCACCTTCGATTTCCCTAGGGTTTCTACCTGCAATGGACGACGGGGAGCTTGAATTTTCGAACCAGGAAGTGTTTTCCGGGAATAACATTGGTGATATTCCAAGCAGTTGTTCAATGGACGGTTTTTTCGATGAATTACTCAATGATTCTCATGCTTGTACCCATACACATACATGCAACCCACCTGGTCCAGATAATTCTCATACACACACATGTTTCCATGTTCATACCAAAATTGTGCCTGCCTCAACTGAAGATAAGACTGCTAGCGATGACACTGCTGGGTCTAAGGAGAAACTGAAGAAACGTCCGCTGGGTAATCGTGCAGCTGTCAGGAAGTACAGGGAAAAGGTTAAGGCACGAGCTGCCTCGTTGGAGGATGAGGTTATGAGATTGAGGGTAGTGAACCAGCAGCTGTTGAAGAGGTTGCAAGGGCAGGCTGCATTGGAGGCTGAGTTTGCTAGGCTTAAGTGTTTGCTTGTGGATATTCGAGGAAGGATTGAAGGGGAGATTGGATCTTTCCCTTATCAGAAATCAGCAACTACTGTTAACCCAATGAACATACCTGGTTCTTATGGGATGAATCCTTGCAACGTGCAATGCAATGATCCGATGTATTGCCCGCATCCTGGAGTTGAAGGTATAACAGGAGAAGAAGCAGCGCTGAATGGACAAGGATTTAATGGGTGTGACTTTGACAATTACCAGTGTTTCACTGACCACAACTCAGGAGCAAAGGAACTTTCTACAGGTGGGGTTTGAAGTGCAGGGTCCAACGGCAATTCTACTGGCAATAAAAGGAGGAAAGGTAAAATTTGGAATTTCTTTATATAATTTATGATGAATACTGGACAGTTAGTTTCTCTTAATTTATTCTATCTTCTGTAACTATTATATCGGTTACTCGTTGTAATTATTTGCTCATCTAGTTGTGGCTTGGAGCTTCAAATCCAAAATTTTAATCTTCTAAGAAGGTTTTTGCACAATTTTGCTTCTTGGTTTGTTGAACTTATTTGATGTAACTATATAGTTCATTTTTTGTTCTAAGCATGTCAACCGTATGGTAATTCTGGTTGATGACAACATCAATAATTAGATTTTTAGAATGATTAGTAGAGGCATGAAAGAAGATTTTCTTGAGAAATGAGGACCAACATGACTGATGGAACTTTATTTGAATATTTAGGTGGTGTTTTATGGCTGTATGGATTGTTAAAAGTAAAAATGATGTTGTTTTCGATATGCTTTAAATAGATTTTATCTCTATATTACTGAGCAGTGTTTACAGTTTAAAGAAAAGCTGCAAATTTTCGTTAAATGTAGAAAATGCCCAAATCCTTGTGGCGCATAAAAACAAAATCTGCATGTGTATGTAGTTGTTTAATTAGACTGAAAAACAAGCCATAAATTAATATTATATATATATATATATATAATCTCCACAAATGATATCACCCTTATAAATATACACCAGCACCCTCCTCTTTCTTTTTGTTTTCCATGTATTTTGAGAGTTCCTTTGATCCACAGGAGAAATAGCAGTTTGTGTTTTTGATCTGATATATTTTAAAAGAAAAGAGATTTATGGGGGAAGAAAGGGTTTTGCTTTGTTGGTTTCATTGGTTTGATTTTTGAGTGTTTGATGGTTGTTTTTGGTTGAAGGTTGAAGAAGAGGTGAGGAAAATGGCAATACAAGCTCAGTTATATTCAGATAATATTGGGTTCCTGTTATGCAGTTCCTTGACTGTGGCGGCACCGGCAACGGCGGGTTTAATCAATTCTGTTTTGGCCATCAATAGAAACCACAGGCGCAGCAACTGAAGAATCAAAACCTTTGTTTTGAAAATGGTGAATCAATGATGTATTGTCAAGTCATGGTCAATATGCAACGGCATGTGATTGGTCAGTTTATCAAATCACATGTTAGAACGAGAATTCAAACATCTTTTTTTTAATCATTTTGTTGATTGGGATTTTGATTTGATTCTTTTTTTCCAGAACGAGAGATTGAGATTATTATCACAAGAGCAAAGGAAGAAACTAGTTGCAGTCATGGTGAAAAAGCTAGAACCCAAGGCAACTCTTTTACTCAAACAAAAAGACACAAAGCTCGGGAATACAACGAACAAAACAATGGAGCTACGAACAACACGCTCGAACAATTACAACAACAGCAAAACCAAGCCGCAGGATTTGTTGAAACGACGACATTAATGGTATGTAAATGTTGCAATTCTCGGAGTTCGTGTGTTCTGTTCCTTCCCTGCAGACATCTTTGTTCATGCAAAGATTGTGCAGCATTTCTTGATTTCTTAGGCAAGGAGGATTATATGACTCATTAGCTTGATTTGATCTTAATTAAACAATTTAAGCGACATAAATGACTTTATAAACATGAAATTCGTGTTTAAATACGCTCGAACTTATGATATTTCGGTTGTTGTAATAATAACGATGTCGATTAAGCTCGACGGCTTTGTTGCATGTGCCTATAAACACCGTATAGCTTCCCATAGCAACTACGGTTCCGAGCAAGAACATAACAAGGAACACAACACCGACCAAGCGAGATGGCAAGGCAAGTGCTGGCAAGACCATCATTAGTGCGTCTGGCTGCAATCTGTGAACGATCCCTGTGCCAAAAGTAGCAAAACCGATCTTTTTCTTCCCAATTGCCGGGTTTTCGAGTGTTCCGTAAACACTAACATCACCTTCACAGTTTCCTATAGCAACACGGCTTCTCTTATACCGATAGCTCAGATAACGAGCAACGTTAAGCCCACCACCCTTGTACCCAATGTCCGGATGGCTTCAATCTGGAGTTGGTCTTTTAGAAGTAGAAATATCAGACCAAAGATTACCTGACCAGCATCATGGTCAAAACCCCACAGAGCTTCAACGACAGCGCTTCCCATTCGAGTATGGCCGATCGATAGCGGCACCAAAGCCACTAGGTGGTCCGGCCCTGACAGTGTGTAAACAACCGGCAAAGAAACCAGTCCAAGCACTACTTAATAGTTCGGCATGGATTAGTCTGCCCCCAGCTGCAGTTCCACTGGTTTTAGCTGCGATTTGAAAGGTTGCGAACGCTGCCGGTGCAAAAATCGGTTGAATTAAGAACATGATAATTGCAGAGAGAGAAACAGACATAGCACCATCCGTGATTGCCTGAAACATTTGTAGAACAGAAAATTGTTTGAACCCTTTGTAAATAAAGAGGAGAACACAGTAGTCGAATTCCACATCGAAATTTAATCCAAATAAACTGCAAATTATGCCCATTTTTACACAATGCAAGATAATTTCAAGTTCATGCTAAAACGTTCAGTTGGAATGATGATGGATAAATAACTCTGCTACACACACACCCACATTGAATACTAAAGGTCCATATTTTCCTAATCATCACTAATCCCACATATATATACATACACATACATGCATGCATGCATGACTAGGAAACGGTTAAACTAATTGAAATGAAAGGGAAAAGGATTCTGAAAGGCCTCCATTTTACCTTCTTTTAATCAAAACAATTAAAAACTTCACAAATTTCACACCTTTCTTTGGGAAGAAGCGCCAATCGCAATAAGCCTGAGGATATTGGAACCGGATGTTGACTCATTTGCTGAATCGCCTCGGGGAGAAACGATTGAAGGCAATTCATAACTTGCATTGGATTGAACACGAGAAAACTGAGATGGGTCATCGGTCTTGCATGAGATTGACCTGACTCGTCTGAGTTGAGGTCGAGCGAGAGACGGTAGTAAATTGAGTTTAGGAGAGCCGGAACTGGCGAGTTGAGAAATGAAATGAGAAGGCTTTCGAGAGTTTTGCAAAGGGGTTGGAGAAAAAGAGTATAAAAGCCTTCCCATGGTTACCCTTTTGTCTCTTCCAAAGCAGTGAGCGAGGAACTTTCTTTCGAAGATAAGGGTTTTTGGCAGTTAGTAATCGGAGACGTTATCTCGAAATTGAAAAAAGGTTTATTTATGATCTAGTCCCTATTTCGTACATATTTTTCTATTTTGATAACTAAACTTTTTTATTCTACAATTGTGTTTAAACTATCATTTAGTCTTATTTTGTACCAAGTTGTAAAAGGAAAAATCAATAAGAATATGACATGCAAAAGGTCCTTGTTGGATGTTCCCTTTTGGGGTAACTTTTATGAAAAAAATAGTTTAAGGGCCAAAGTATGCAAAAGAAAATTTAGGTTTCTAAGTGAGAAAATTGATATAGTTATTTTTACATAATTATCGATATTTGATTTATTGATCGATTAATTCATATTGGACAACTCGTCCAATCTAATTTACTTCATTTACAGTGTGAAAATTTAAACTATGAACATTATTTAATGGATCAAGATCCTCATCCACTAGATCGACTCGTAATCTGTAAATGAGATTATCTTTTGTTTAAATCTATTCTTACATAATGTATTTATTTTAGGTCTAGTTATGATTATGTATTAGTACTTAAAAATTTAAATTATATTATAATAAACTTTTACAATATCCAACCAAATTAGTTGTTTAATAGATTTGATAGGGTAATTATATTCGAAGAACATTTATAATTCAAATTGATCATGCAGTAAATAAGTATAAGATATACACATATTTACAATTTGATTCATGTGTTTTAAATACGTTTAAAAAAGTGATGAATAAATTGACGCTAGAAATTGATTTGATATTGTAACGATACATAGAAAACTCAATTAAAACACTTTGGAGTTCAGGGACTAATTTGGAATCTGAAACATGGTTTGGGGACTTATGATGTATTAAACCATTTCCTCTACTTTAGACCATTTTAAAAGGACTGAGCTGAGAGTAAGCATTCAGGTACTCGTACAAAGCCTATTACCAAATCTTGCTCTACACAAACCTACTTCCATGGCGCTATATTCAAGTATCAAACAAGAGGTAAATGATAAATAACATCGAGATATCAAATACTAATATCTTGCTCATCAAACACCATCACAAGAACTCATCTGCCAGAGATTTGCCCCCGAACTTATCAATGATCGACGCTATGTTCGAAATGGTTTTGTCCAGTTCCGAACATTGACGCTCGATTTCGTCTAAACGAGCCTTGGTTTCTGCGACTCGCTCTCGTGCAAAAGCGGCCTCTTTTTCTTTCTGAGCTAGATCTTCCGTTTTCAATTTCAGTTCTTTCCTTACTGACTCTAATGCTTGGTCGTGCTTGGCCTTTTTGGCTTCGAAAGTTTGGCGTTGGCTAACGAGCTCCACGGCTTCCGAGATTTCGTTGAGTAGAGCACGCAACCAACTGACAACGATACCGGCAGAGTCTACATCCTTGAGAACAGCAAACATCTCTTTTAGTTTTGCTTTAGTCAGTTGCTTGAACGGAGTGGAATGTAGCTCTTGAACTACAGCACACAAGCATTCTAGATAGTAAGCACGCATCGAAGCCGATTCCAAATGACAATTAGCTGCTATGTCTCCGTGCTTGTCAAAAATCGATTGCAGAACCGTGGACATGCTTGCTTTCACATGGTATTTTCCAACCGATACGCATGAATCGGAGATTACAGATTCGACCTCTTCCTCCTCGTCGCTGTCATCTTGAGCTTGGCCAATTCCTAAGAAACTAAAGGCTGAGCTAAGGGCTTCTCTTGCATCCTTAGTATGTGCACCCGAACTCATCTTCGGGGAATCTTGTACCTTCTCTTCTTGTTTAAATTTGGCAGGTGCATCAGCAGGAGACTGTAAGAGAAAACAGCACAAGAGAGGATTCAAATGAATACGAAATAGAGAATAACTAATGCTTCCGTATCGGCGTGCGAGTTTTCCAGTTAGAAAGCGAGGAACCTACCATGAGTTTTCCAGACATCTGCAATGGTTGAGAGTATTGAATTGGTGCCTTCTCAAATGATTGATCTTGGGAATAAATCTCTCCGGAGTGTTGCTCGGAAGATGAAAACGACTCACCGTTCTCTGCTTCCGTCTTCTTACTAGAAAAAAGTGACCGAGGATAGCCATGGTTCTGAGGCAGAGATTCAGATTTATTTTTCCTATCAAAGCTTCTGGAGGCATCAAGAAATTTTGAACCTACAATGATCAAAACCGTAGTCAGGAACATGCTCTTTCTCCAGGAGACATCTTTCTTGTACTTACAGATCACCCGTCAAACAGGAATTCGCGCCTTAGTTCTCGCTAAGGCTTGAATTAGTACTCGACCGGCACGACAGCTAGACCAAAACTCTCTTTTGATCAATGATGATACGGTTTCCAGACCAACAAGTTTCCGCAAATAAACTTGTACTAATTTACTTAAACCATTAACTAGATTCTAGTCATCAACCTTGCATCAATCACAGTGAATAAATCAATAGCACATGAAGCTCAAGGTGAAAGTGTTTTCCATTAAACATTTAGCAAGAAATTTGACAGGGAATTGTCATGGAATTGAACAAACAATGACCTTAGAAAATAGGAAATAAAGCAGCTAAGAAAGGATGGGATTTGATTACTTAATGTCTTTTTTTCCTTTGCCTTTGTTCCCTTGCCTTCAGCAATCTTCTCTAAGCAGAGGACACCACATTCATGGTATGGATTAGCAGCATTAGGACAATATGGGTGAACTCTTCCATTCCCATCCATGGCCTTTACCTTTGTGAAACACAGAAATAAATAAATAAAACACAAAATTCATTCACAAGTAATTGAAATAGTCAAGCACAAAGATCCTTGCTTGCTATATCAGGAACTTTCACCAGCACCAAGTGTTTTATCCTTTATCCCCGAAAACAATTCACAAAATTATGTTAATAATCTATCACTTAGGAAAAGAAAAATTAGATCTGTTTCTTCTCAAGAGAAAAGCAGGAAAAGTTTGACCCGAAACTCTTTTTCGTCAAGGTGATCACAAATGGCAGAAAAAGATGAATAAAACCCGGAAAACTGAACATCAGATAATAACTTTCTGTCGTGTTTTCCTACACTTTCCACCCTTCCAAACGGAGGATGTTCATATGAATTTCAAAAGAAAACCTTGTATAAAGAAAAAACAAAAAACACATGCAACAGCCAAAGGCAGATTAGTAAAGAAAGGGGAAGAATACCAGAAAGGAAGCTTGATTGAGATAAACACAGAAACAAAAAGAGAATCCAAAGGAGATGGATTATCCGTGGACAAGATTTGATTGTTGAAAAGTTTCTTTCTCCAGTTTTCTATGTCAGAAAGTTCGACTAATGGGATATGTCTTAAAGCTGCTTTTTTTTTCCATTCAAGACAAGACAAAAGAGAGAGAAAAATGAACTCTTTGGTCATCGACATATCTGGAACTCTCAGGTTTTTATAAATTCAGGAATCAAAACACGTGAAAATGACGGATTTCTTTTCACGGCATTGTTTATTGGTTTTTAACAAAGTAGTAAAATAATAAGGTAAGGTTTAATTATGCTTTCAGTCACTGCATTCGTCATACTTCGGAAATTGAACGGGATCTAACTTTTTGAAATTGAAAAGAGAGACTAAAATTTAAAACTTTGAAGAGTACAAGGGCCGAAAACATAATGAAACCATAACGTAATGGAGCTAACACTAAAGGCTAAAACCCTACCGCATGAGCCTTGTTTTACCTAACTGTACTCTAGCGTTTATGATTTATAACCTTACGTGTAAACAAAACACGTGTCCCATTAGTTTAATTTTATTTTAAAAAATATATTTTAAAGATATTCTAGTTATTTTAAATAAAAATAATAATATTTTGATGGAGTAATTCGGGGTCGTCTTAATTTATTCTCATTATTTTTATTATTACTAAGATATTCTAGTTATTTTAAATAAAAATAATAATATTTTGATTGAGTAATTCGGGGTCGTCTTAATTTATTCTCATTATTTTTATTATTACTATTGCAAAGGTCATGTATGACGCGAACATGTCGACTCCTGCATCCAAAAACCCAAAGGCATGTATGTAGCCTGTAGGCCATATATCGACCACACAAAGCGGAAAATTAAATAGACTACGAGGCAGGAGACAAAGACTTCGCAAAAATTTAAAATTAAAAGGGTAAATTACACAAATGATTCACTGTTTATATGATATTTTTTTGAATTTCTCAATTATTAAAAGTTATAAAATAATTACTCAACTATTCATATGTTTCAAACTTATCATTTTTTTGTTAAAAAATTCACTACCGTCTGAGCTAGATTGTAGACACTTATTTTCTTCCGAGATAGTATATAGTATATAGTATATATTTTGTATATTATATATTATATTATATTATATAGTATAGTATATATATATATTATATTATAAATATGGTATATTATATGCTATATTATATATACTATTATATATATTTTTACCAAAAATTTTTTTAAAAAAAATAAATGATCGGTGGCGGCTCTAACATTTTATTCAAGTCGAAGTCCAATTCTGAGCCTACCCGAAAGACGGTTGCGACATAGATGTTAACATATTAATTTGGATATATGATAACATTTGATCTCAGAATCTCAAACGAAAATACAATTCAAATGATTCTGATATTAGATTTTATCATATTCAATCAATAGGTTAACATACATCTCATAAGACCGTCGACTTTTAATTGAAAAATGGTGAGTTTGGAATATATAAATAGTCATATGACTATTTTGTAACTTTTAATTTTTAAGGGACTCGAAAAAGAAACACTTTATAGTCAATTGGTCATTTTATAACTTTTAATAGTCAATGGACTCAACAAAATAATGTCATATAGTCGATGGATTATTTGTATATTTTACCCAAATTAAAATTAAAGCATGGATTTGGAAAATTCATTTGTTTTTCCTTAATAAAAAACATAGATAAAAAGAAAGAAATTTGCATGCATCCAAAGATGCATCAACTAGTTTGCACTTTTCTCTATTATTAATAATTAAATAGTTGAAATAATATCACTAAAATAATATTTATATTTTAACCACATTTAAATTTAAACCCAAATACGTTTTTAAATGATTTTTTTAAAAAATTTAATACGGGGTATGATAAATTATTCTCTTTTTATCATTGAGATTAATCATTGAATTTTAATATATTTGTATTATCAATTTGATAAGATAAATATAAAAGTAAAGTTATTTGAACCCGTATCACTTAGGGAGAAAAACATTCTCTTTACCAATGAATTTTTCCTTGAATTTTAGATTTAAGGATTAAGGATTTGGGAGTTAGAGTTTTTTTTAAAGAATTTAGATATTTCAAAGTTTTTTTTTATTAAGAAATTCATTTATAAAAATAAAAATTTAAAATCAAATCATGTATCATACATTTATTAAACAACGGATTGAGAAGATGAAATACCAAACGACTTGACTCTTCGCATGTTTTATAACTATTAGAGAGTATTCTTCACCCCTATATATATATATATATATGAGGTTCATGTACTAATCAAAATAAGAAAAAAATTATACATCTATCTCTATTTTTCAGGGGTGTTCGCGGTCGGTTTGGATCGGTTTTTGGCTAAAAATTCATCCGATCCGAAAGTATAAATGTTTGCGGTTTAGATCGGTTTGGATGTTTCTAAAAAAAATCCGATCCGATCCGATCCAATTAAGTGCGGTTTAATTCGGTTTGGATTTGTGCGGTTCGGTTAAAAACCTTTCCTCGTTGTACTATCGTTTAGCTTCTCCCAGTTTTGATTTTGAAGTCGAAAGAAAAACAGGTTACCCAAATTTTCTTGATTTGATTCCAGTTCCCTTTTCATGGTTTCATTGTTATAACCAAAACTTGCCATTTGAAATGAAGAAAAGATATTTCTATTTATATTAGATATGATTACATAATGACTTTTATATATTATAATATAATAGCATACACTCTCTAAACAAACATATTATTACAATATCAATACTGATGCATAAAATTAAATATGAAAGGATGGAGAAGGGAAAATGAACGAAACACCCAATGTTTAATGTTTGTATTATCAAAGAAAGCAAAAGGAAAAAAAATTAAAAACTAGGAGCCCAACCAGGTTCGAACTGGTGACCTCTTGATCTACAGTCAGATGCTATACCACTAAGCTATGGATATGTTTGTTTTAAACTTGTAAATTAACTATTATATTTTATCGATTCGGTTCGGTTTGGATCGTTTTCAGATTTTCAAACCGAAACAGAACCGAACCAATCGGTTTTTAAAAAAAAACCAAACATACTAAATCGGTTTCGATTTTTTTCGGTTTTCGATTTTTTGGATCGGTTTTTGGTTTTTTTTATCGGATTGGATCTGAACACCCCTACTATTTTCTCTATTATATCTATTCTTTATTTTAAAAGACGTTATCAGCACGATCCGAAGATATTGTTGGGCAAGGCTTAACAAAAGTGAACTTAACGTAACCGATTTTACTCAGGTGTGTAGATCTCTATAATCTAGCATCTATTAATGTATAATCTACTATCATTGTTAAAAGGACGTGTAACATGACTTCTTTTATTGAGATTTACTATATAAGTGACACTTACTTTGTAAAGAGATTTATGACTTTGCATGATTTTTTTTTTTACTTTTGACATGTGTGAATAGTTTTATTTTATGTTTTTCCTTCCTGTATATTATTTAAGGCTTGTTCATTACTTTATTCATATGAATTTGTTATAATACACAAGTCTATTGTTTGTAATAGTGATTTAATCTAGATATCTCGTATATATTAGCTCGACTTGTAAAACATGTTTTGTTGTTTGACTTTCTTATCATCGATCACCAAGATTAGAGTTTATCCATGCCTTGACATTTTAATTATAATTTAGTCATTTTTTTTAGATTTTGTTTTCATGTTTATAACATTTGTTTGTATGTATATGAGTAAGTGACATTCACCTTCTTTTTTAATTATAATAATGATCATGTCAAATCTTACAAAGCTTGAATTTATAATTTTGGACATCACTGGAAAGAACTATTTATCGTGGGTGTTATATGTTAAAATTCACATGTATTATAATTATTAGAGAGCATTATTCACCCTTTTATATATATATATATATGGGGTTCATGTACTTATCAAAATAATAAAAATATAGATATATCTATCTCTATTTTCTCTCCCATATCGCTCCTTTATTTTAAAATAATAAAATATTTTAATAAAAATAAATATCTAAAATAAAAAATTAAACACTTACTCTCCAAAAATAAAAAATAGTACATATAATTTTCAAATAATTGATTTGAAGCCCATTGGATAACATCTAATGGTTTACACTAAAGAAAACACAAGAAACCTGATAAGTAGCCCAATGTTCTCCAAAGCTAAATCCAGAACGCTGTTTAGGTGAAGTCTAAGGAACCATTTCCAGGTGCTAAACAACATAGCTTCCCCTTTTCGATCCTTCAATTTTCGAATTCGTTTTTCAAACACAAAGCTTTAAAACATTTAAAAAAATGGCTGGTTCCAGTGGAAGCCGATTCAAGCAGTTCTTGAAGAAGTACGGGAAAGTGGCCCTTGGGGTTCATTTCTCGGTCTCCGCAGCTTCGATCGCCGGCCTCTACGTTGCCATCAAGAACAACGTCGACGTCGAATCGTTGTTCGACAAGTTGCATCTCCCGAGATTTTCCGATGATAAACAGAACCAAAACCAGTCTCCGCAATCGACGAGCCCAGATGGTTCTTTGATGGAAGAACCGACGGCGGTGATCGAGGAGAAGAAGAAAAGGAATCGGACGGTCGAGCTTGCCGCTTCCACCGGCGGAGCACTTGCGTTGGCTGTGCTTTGTAACAAGGCCTTGGTCGCCGTTCTGGTACCTATCACAATCGCGCTGACGCCTCCCATCGCAAGGTTTTTGGCTAAGAGGAGGATCATTAAGAACAGTTTATGATTTCTTTTTCTTTTACAAGTGCTGCACATAGAACTGTATTATGATTGGTTGAATCTTAATTGTATTGTTATTATTGTGAAAATAAGATGGATAAAATTGTAGCACTTGGGGTTTAGGGTTTGTTTTAAGGTAATTGTATGATTTGAGAGCTAAATTACTGGTAAAATCGTCGGTAACACAAATTGATCCATTTTTTATAGGTTAAATTATGATTTTAGTCTTTCTATTATGTTCAAATTTGAGATTGAATGTATGTATATTAATTTCACATTATTTGATCTTATTATGTTCAATTATAGACTATAATCACAAAACACAATATATGGGATTTAAAGTGATTCGATCTTATTTATTTTTACGGACAAGAGAAATAATAATTCAATATAAATATAAATATTATAAGGAGTATAAATACATGAAATTCACAAATTGACTTATTCTAGTTGTTTCTTAAGCATACGTGGTTTAAGGTTGTAAACCCATGTTCTTCCTCGTCTTGCCTACGAACAAGTCTTTGGATTTGAGCAATCCAGGAAGACATCCGCTGATGGTTGCAAAAGGAAACTGTGCCACTGCATCTTTCCTACCCAGTGAAACCAACGCAGTGGCTGAACCACACTCGTACTTTCCCATTTTGCTCTCTTTGCTTCCACTCATCAACAGCTTCAAGTTTTTCGCAACCACCATTGCATGCTTTTGAGCTAAAAACCCTTGTTTCAGTTCCTGCATTCATCTCTAAAAATATTAAGATACTCAAACTCGACTCGGTCGATACTAAAACATCCCGGTATACGACTTACCGGAATATCGGTGATGTCTCCGATCGCGAATACGTTACGGCGACCCTTGACTCTCAAATGCTCATCAACCATCAACCTTCCATTTCCATCCAAGTTGGTCTTCAAGATTGTCTCATTAAGCCATGATGAAGCCAAAGGCTTTCCAGCACAAAGGAAATGGCAATCCGCTTTGATGGTTTCTCCTGTTGAGGTTTTATATACTGATGTGGTTGAATTCAAGTCAACTGCTTGCTCCAATTTCACTTCAACTTTCCTTGATTTCAACCAACGTAAAGCCTTGTCCGAAGCCTTTGCTCCAATGAATTCCAGCAACCTTGGTCCCTTGTGAACCAATGTAACCTTCTTGTCGGGGAAGTCGGTGACTATTTCTCCGGCAAGTTCGACACCGGTCGGTCCTCCTCCGACAATCAAAATCGAATCGGCAGACTGTATTTTCTGATTATCTGTAAGCATAGAATACATATATCATATACGTATATTAGAATTATATAAATGTTCCTCTAGATTTAGACTAGCCTTTACCTGCTTTGTATTGATGAAGTCTCTCGGGTTTTGTCACGGGAACAAGATCCATGTGTCCAGTAGCAATGACGAGATAATCGTAAGAAATACGACGGCCATCGGCCGTCAATACATCGGTGTCGGTTACATTCGTTGCAACAGACGTAACGATAAGTCCGTTTGTAAGGTAATCTCGATGGTTTATCACCGATCTTTCCGCAAACGACGGCTCCACCATGTTCCTCAAGTCCGCCCATGTGATTTCAAGATACTCCTTCCTGATCAAAACAAACTATTTTGTACGGATAAAAATCAACAAGTTATACAAGAGATTAACAAAACGAAGCTCACGGGTCGATAAGCGTGACAGCGGCATTGAATTGCAAGGACCTGGCAAGGAGGGAGCCGGAAATGCCACCTCCAACAATAACTATTCTTCTCGTTTCTCCACCTGATTCCATGATTTCTTCGATATAGGCTTCATGGTTTCTTCATTTATATAATGAGATTTCATTATAGGTTCTTTTCTTTTTCTATTTAATATTCATATTATAGAATAGCTTTATTATATGATATTATTTTGGTTGGAATATATAATAGCTTTATTTGGGCACAACCTGACTGCAAGTTAAGTATAAATTTGAAGTTTAAGAATGACATGTTAGGATTACCCATCAAAGTCTTGAAAAAAAATGATAAACAATATATTTGATCATCCGATTATATTAAGTTTCATTAGTTTAATATTATATTATATTTTAATTATTAGTAATTAAATTTTCTTTAAATACAGGTAGAGATAGTGATATAATTTAATATAATAATGATTTTAGTCTCTAAAATTTATATATAATATCAATTCGATCCTAGTTTGAAATAATTCAATAATTTTTTTTTGATTTTCTTAATCATTAACAATGCGCATACACCCTTCAAACGTAACTGCTCGAACTCAATACCTCAAGAGATAATAACATTCTTTGTAACCACTAAAGTCATTCAATAGATTCTTATTAAATTATGTTGTTGAATAGTCTGAGATGATTACATTGTGGTATATATTCATAATTTTTCTCAGAGATTAACAATGCACGCATATTCGTATATGTAACTGTTTAAATTAAAACTTTTAAGAAAAATAACATTTTTTTTTTACTTATAAGACCACTCAATGGATTATTTATTAACATTTTTGAATTAAAATTAAATATAGGATATATAAATTTGAAGATTAAAATTATTATTATTATTATTATATCAAGGCATATTACCTTTCCGTCAATTCAACTGTGTACGGTTATTCAAAAAATATAATATTAATTGTTGATTACTAAAAGATAATTCTATAACCAAAACAGAAAGCTAATAATAGTTGATTAATTGAACATGTAAATCAAAGGCAGCTAGTCCTTCATTTCAAGGGTACAAATGAAGTGCCACACTAACTGTAATGCACACTCGAGAACACACTAAAATTCCTTCTCCACTTAACGGTACCAGCTTATAAGACTTGTATCCAATATTCCGCTTCAGATAATTGCCGGAGTGAAATCGGAGAGAAGATGGTCGTGTGCGTTGCCGTCGTCGGTCATCAGGCACGGCCTCCGATCTCCGCCGTTCTTTCTTTCAAACATCGCAAATCTTGTAATTTTTCGTTGTTTCTCATGATTTGTTTTTCATGTATCACGAGGGGATGAACAGAACAATCCTCTGTACATACAGAGCTTCACCGACTCCGATGATGCTCTGAAACTCCACCACATCGTACATTGCTCCCTCGATGTCATCGATGAACGAGGTAATCAAATTACCACTTTAATCTAAGGATTCTCTTTCTCATTTATCTTCATTGAGATCTTAGGATCTGATTATGCATATTTGGGGGGAAATTTTGTTGAATTTTCATTTTTAGTGAAAATTTAGTTTATGTTGATTTCAAATTATAGATTTTGAACGTCTGATGTAGGATTAAATTTTTGCTTATATATATGTAGTGAACAATCCGAAAAAATCCGGACCGACATTGAACGAGACGTTTTTGGGCTTGCTTTATCCTACTGAAAATTATAAAGTGTAAGAAGTTAATTTTTATAGTTTTAAGTTTGATCTGGAATTCTTGTGTTGTTGTGATTTGTGCGTGTTGCAACTTGCAATCTCTAACTGGTTGTGCATGGTTGTGTTGGATGCAGTTATGGTTATTTGACAAACACGAAGGTGAAGTTCATTTTAGTGACTAATTTAGATGTTAGAGACGCCGATGTCAGAAATGTAAGTATTGCCTTCCTGACAATGATGGTAGGACTTCAGGATTGTACTATAAGTCTATGAATATATTATTTCGATTTTGTTCTTTGTTCACTGGAGAGAGGCAATGTTGATTTGTAGTAATGCAGTGTTTCTCGTAATATCTTTATTTCCGCCTCTCCATCTTCACTTATTATACCCAGAACTTTCAACACTATGGGTCTATATTTAAAAGATATGTTTCAAGAACCTAATTATCTCGAGAGCATGCATGCTCTAGTGTTGCCATTGAGTTTATCTTGGTATCACATGTATTTTAGCTGAGTTTCTATTTATGTTTAGTCGAGACACTGCCTAAGCTTTAGCCGTAACCTTGAGGTAATGTAAGGCTGTAGTCTCTATTCTTGGGATGATGATAATCTATGGAAATGATAGAAAGGTGAAATCTGGAGAATGGTAAACTTTTGAGTAAATTATCATCACGTATTTCTATCTACAATGTTTACTGGTTTATCATGATACTTGGATAGGACTTAGGAGGTAGACCCGCTTATGTAGAAACTGTCGGAAATTTTAGTGGCTGTTTCTAATTAGAGTGAAACGAAACATATTTTAGCTGTGCATATTTGCTGATTTCCTAGTGCGTGTTTCGGTTCTTCTGTAGATTTTCGTTTGTGGAATTATATTATTTGTTATTGTTTCAGACGAGGTGGTAAGATTCCCCAATATAACTGTAGGTTTGATTGTTCTACATCATCTTGTTGGGTGATATAGGTGGTAATGTTAAGAGTATGTACTTTGCTAGTAATTAGACACAAGATGACTTGTTTTTGCATTTGAATATATAGTTTTTCAGGAGGTTCCACGCTGCATATGTTGATGCTGTATCAAACCCGTTTCACGTCCCTGGTAAAAAGATAACATCCAGAACTTTTGCAGATAGAGTGAGCACCATTGTCAAGTCATTTGGGATGAGTTCAGCTGCGTGATTCTGGTTTGAGTTCAATGCTTTTCCTAATCTTAAAACTAAACTATCAAATACTGTTGGTATCAGGAATGACAATTGTTACTGCGGATGCGGATTCATATATTTGTAGATATTCAACTTGTTTATTTATCCGAGTTTAACATGGACAACAAATGAATTTGGATTAAAACGTTTGAACTATAGCATTTGAGTCGGAAATGCAGAGTTTGATGAAGCCATGATCTACTCCACAATCGAGTTCTACATGTTGATGAAGCCATCATATAGTGGATAAATTGAGTTCTACATGTAGCCAAGTTATAACTCATCGTCATCTTCTTCCGCAGTGTGCTTTGTGAGCACTTGCTCCTGTTGTTTTCTTTCTCTTCTCTCCTCGGCACTTTCTTTCTCCTTATGGGAGTTTGGCGGGAACCGAAGTGCGCGCACTGCCTCGTTATGCATATTGATTCAGAAAGCAATCCTAGAGTTGAATGACTTTTGAGGCTCGGTTGTAGAGTAGATATCTCCCGTCTCCTTTGATAGCATGCATCCGTTCACATGATCCAATGTTGCATCAATAGCTCCATCTTTGATTGCTTTGGCTGCTATACTCTTGGCATCAGCAACAGGGTCCAATCTAAGCTTCTCAGCAACATCATCGAGTGAGATGCAAGAATACGAGATACTTATGTCGCGCAGCCCTGTGCGAATAACATTATGCTGTAGCCTAATAATTATGTACCCAGTCTGAACTGAAGGTGTTTGAGAACTTTCGGTAACAGATTTTAAGAGCTCCAAATCCCCAATGCATACAGCCTGAAATTACACTCAACATCAGACGTTATCAAAACTAGTAAATTCTTGGCACTGCTTAATCCCAATTAAAATCCAAATGTTGATGGATATGATAACACAGGATACCGATAGAACAACAGAAGATATGTAAGAGCTAAATGCGGTTTTTTCTCTCCCCCCCCCCCGCCAACTTTTTAACGGTAAAGTCGAGTTAGGAATATCGGGCTCAGTCCTTTATAAAGCAGAATGAAAAGAAAACCATGTATGAAAAACTCACATTTGTCAGTTCAAAGCAAGGTCTCAATGCTTTCTCCATGCCTTTCTGCATAAAAATCAGTTCGCTCAGGGATTTCTCGTAGCAGTAATCGAACGATAATTGTCCATTTGTTGCACTGAACTCGAAAACCAAGGGCCGCGACCGGGGATTTCCGAGAAGCTTGGAGGAGACACTCTTTGGCATCCGTGTACTCCAATTGAATTGTCCTAATCTTTCCCAAGTAAAAGAGGTATCAGCAAAACTGCAGCAGAGAACCTGTCTTAGGGTATAAAAGCCAATTTTAATGTTTTTATGGCTATAACAATGACATTTAGTCATGTCAAATCTCCAGGCAACAAATTCATAATATCATAAAGATGAAGTTTGGCAGGCTATAATAAGGCGAACACCTTGGAAACATGGGTGGCTTTCAGATATGAAAAACTATTACTTGCCTGCTGATTTGAGTGAGCTTCAAATCTAGGTGCCTTTGACCTCAGTTTCTCCGCTTGATCATACAAATTATAATGGAGGTAATTTCGAAGAAGCAGGTTGAGAAGTGTCTCCTACATGAGAACAATATCGAAGCATAAGACCCCTAACATCAGAGATACATTGTTCCAATATTTGAAATTTTACCTGACCCGGTTCGTCATGGCGTAATGTTGCGATCCAGTGCAGGGCTAGAAGGTCACTGTCAATAAAAGATCATCTGATTAGACCTAAAATGTCATACTGTACTGTATTGTACTTCTGGTCTTGTATACAAGCACATAACTGATATAAAAGTCAGCTTAGAGTACTGTATAGCTCACCCCCTAATTTCAGCAAGATCACCAGTGAGTTCATAGCAAAGAGAGTAATAGAAATAGAGCCTAGCTGCTCGAACATCAACAGTACTCTTGTTCACATTCTTCACACGGGCAATGCCGGCAGAGGAACAAGCTTTTGTCTGAAACGAGCTAATCGTTACATAAAAAGAAGAGGTAAAATCACAAGAAAC